TGTTGATCTCCTTATGCTGTCTTATTGCTATTGCTAGAACTTCAAGCATTATTGGAGAGGTATGGAGAGAGTGGACAGCCTTGTCTTGTTCCTGATTTTAGTGAGATGGCTTTGAGTTTCTCTCCATTTAATTTGACTTGATGTATATTGCTTATATTATATTTAGGAATGAACTTTGTATCCCTAATCCCTCCAAGACCTTTATCATAAAGGGGTGTTGAATTTTGTCAAATGCTTTTTCAGCATCTAATGAAATGATCATCTGGTTTTTTCTTCAGTTTATTTATATGATGGATCACATTGATAGTTTTTCGTATGTTTAATCAGCCCTACCTCTCTAGGATGAAGCCTATTTGATCATAATGTATAATTTTTTGGATGTGTTCTTGGATTTGGTTTGCCAGTATTTTATTAAGAATTTTTGCATAGATGTTCATGAGGAGATTGGTCTGTAATTCTCTTTCTTGGTTAAGTCTTTGTGTGGTTTTGGTATCAGGGTATAACTGTAGCTTCATCAAAAATTAGGCAATGACTCTTCTGTTTCTATTTTGTGAAACATATTAAGGAGTATGGGTATTAACTCTTCCTGGAAGTTCTGGTAGAATTCTGCATTGAAACCATCTGGTCCAGGGCTTTGTTTTTGGTAGGGAAGTTTCTGATGACAGCTTCTATTTCTTTGTGACTTACAGGTCTATTTAAACTGCTCATCTGGTCTTGACCTTATTTTGGTATATGGTATTTATCTAAAAAAGTGTCCATTTTTTTTTCACATTTTCCAATTTTGTGGCATACAGGCTTTTGAAGTAAGATCTAATGATTCTTTGAATTTCCTCTGTGTCTGTGGTTATGTCCCCCTTTTCATTTCTGATCTTGTTAATTTGCATGTTCTCTCTCTGGTGTTTGATTAATTTGGATAGGGGTTTGTCAGTCTTGTTGATTTTCTCCAGGAACCAGCTTTTTGTTTAATTGATTCTTTGAATTGTTTTCTGTGTTTCTATTTTGTTGATTTCAGCCCTCAGTTCGATTATTTCCAGTCTTCGACTCCTCCTGTTGAATCTACTTCTTTTTTTTTTCTAGAGTTTTCAGGTGTGCTGTTAAGTCTGTAATGTGTGCTTTCTCTGTTTTCTATATGTGGTCACTTAGTGCTATAAACTTTCCTCTTAGCACTGCTTTCATAGTGTCCCATAGGTTTGGTATGTTGTGTCTTTATTTTCGTTGAATTCAAGGAAGACTTTAATTTCTTTCTTTATTTCTTCCTTGACTCAGGGATGGTTCGGTAGTTGACTGTTCAGTTTCCATGAGTTTGTAGGCTTTCTGGGGGAGAACTGTTGTTGAATTCTAACTTTATTCCATGGTGATCCGATAGTACACAGGTGGCTACTACAATTTTTTTGTATCTTTTGAAATTTGCTTTGTTACCAATTATGTGATCAATTTTTGAGAAGGTTCCATGAGATGCTGAGAAGAAGGTATATTCTTTTCTGGTTTGGTGGAATGTTCTATAGATGTCTGTTAGGTCCATTTGGTTCATTACATCTGTTAGTTCTCTTATTTCTCTGTTAAGTTTCTGTCTGCTTGATCTGACCATTGGTGAGAGATGAGTGTTGATATCTCCTACTATTAGAGTGTGAGGTTTGATGTGTGCTTTGAGTTCTAGTAATGTTTCTTTTACATATGTGTGTGCTTTTATATTAGGGGCATAGATATTCAGGATTGAGACTTCCTCCTGATAAATTGTTCCTGTTATGAGTATAAAGTGTCCATCTCCATCTCTTCTGATTGATTTTAGTTTCAAATCAATTTTGTTAGATATTATAGCCACACACACTTGTTTCTTTGGTCTATTTGATTGGAAAACTTTTTCCCAACCCTTTACTCTTAGTAGATGTCTGTCTTTGAGTTTGAGGTGTGTTTCTTATAAACAGCAGAATGTTCGATCCTGATTTCTTATCCATTCTCTTAACCTGTGCCTTTTTATAGGTGAATTGAGTCCATTGATATTAATTGATATTAATGACCAATGGTTGTTAACTCCAGTTATATTTTTTTTCTGGTGGTAGTGTTTGTGTGTTTCCCTTCTTTGAGTTGTGCTGGTGGAGTGTTGTCAGATACTTGTGTTTTTATGGGTGTTGTTGGCTTCCTTGGTTTGTGATTTTCCTTCTATTATTTTCTGTAAGGCTGGGTTTGTGGCTACACATTGTTTAAATCCATTTTTTTGTCCTGGAATATCTTGTTTTCTCCATCAATGATGAATGCAAGCTTTGCTGGGTATAGTAGTCTGGGCTTGCATCCATGGTATCTTAGTGTCTGAGGCAATCTATCCAAGATCTTCTGGCTTTCATGGTTTCCATTGAGAAGTCAGGTGTAATTCTGATAAGTTTACCTTGATATGTTATTTGACCTCTTTCCCTTGCAGCTCTTAATATTTGTACTTTATTCTGTATGTTTTGAGTTTTGATTATTATATGATGAGGGGATTTTTTTTTGAACCAGTCTAGTTGGTGTTCTATATCCTTCTTTAGTTTGGGAAAGTTTTCTTCTGTAATTTTGTTGAATATATTTTCTGGGCCTTTGAGCTGTAAATCTTCTCCTTCTTCTACCCCTATTATTCTTAGGTTTGGTCTTTTCATGGTGTCCCAGATTTCCTGTATGTTTTGTGTTAAGAATTTTTTGGAGTTGTTTTGTTCTTTAATCAGTGAGTTTATTTCCTCTATAGTATCTTCAGTGTCTGAGATTCTTTCTTCCATCCCTTGTATTCTGTTGGTAATACTTGTCTCTGAAGTTCCTGTTCATTTACCCAAATTTTATATTCCAGCCTTCCCTCGTTTTGTGTTTTCTTCATTACCTCCATTTCATTTTTCAAGTCTTGAACTGTTTCCATTACCTGTTTGATTACTTTTTCTTGTTTTTTTTTGGGGGGGGGAATCTTTGAGACATTTATCCATTTCCTCTACCTTTTTGTTTGTCATCTCCATTTCTTTACGACAGTTTTTTACTTCCTGTTTAAGTTCCTCTATTATTTTCATAAAGTTCTGTTTAAAGTCCATTTCTTCTATTTTATCTGGAGTAGGGTGTTCAATTCTTCTTGTTGCATGATCCCTGGATTCTTGTGATGTCGTGTTGCCTTTCAGGTTGTTAGAGGAATTCTCACATTGGTGCCTGCCCATCTCTTTCTTCAAATGCAACCAGGAGAGTCTTGTTGTCTTGGTCCAGTCTTTGATGTGACTGCCTCTCTGGGTGGATCTCCTCAGTGCAGGTGCAGGAATTGTTCTAGTCTGGATGGAACTCTTCAGTACCAAAACAGGGACTCCTGGTAGTCCAAGGACCCTGTCTAGATAGAACTTCTCAGAATAGAAATAGGAACGCCTTATAGTCCAAAGACCCTGCAGACAAAAGGGCCAATAAATAAATTCCTAACAGTTAAAAAAAGAAGGGCCCAGATAAAATACACTGATGACAACTTATGCTGGAGATTATGTGGAGTAAAGGAAACACTCCTCCAATGCTGGTGGGAGTGCAAACTGGTATAGCCCCTTTGGATATCAGTATGGAAATTTCTCAGACTATTAGGAAACAACCTTCCTCAAGACTCAGCAATGCTACTTTTGGGTGTATATGCAAAGGATGCTCAGCAGAAAAAAAATTACATCTTGAAATTTGTGGGCAAATGGATGGATCTAAAAAACATCGTATTGAGTGAGGTAACCCAGACCCAGAAAGACATATATCATATGTACTCACTCACAGTGGCTTTTAAATATAAAGAAAAATAAACAAGCCTACAATTCACAATCCCAGAGAACCTAGACAACAATGAGGACACTAAGGGAGACAGACATGGATATAATCTACATGGGAAGTAGAAAAAGACAAGATCTTCTGAGTAAATTGGGAGCATGGGACCATGGGAGAGGGTAGAAGGTGAGGGGAGAGGAAGGGAGGAGAGCAGAGAAAAATATATAGCACAATAAAAAAAATAAAAATTTAAAAATTGAAGATTAGAAACATAACAAAATAAAAAGAATTTCTCAATAGATATACTTAATGGCCAAGGTTGAAACCTGCTTTATATTATCTTGCTCTTTCTCAGGAAACATAATGTAAATTATTCATTCAATATTGGGAAATCTTCAAAATAAAAACATTTTTTTTAAATAAAAGAAAGTTTAATTTTGAGGGAAAAGCTCAGGGTGAGGCTGTTGGCATCAAGTCCCAGAAGTGATCTTGGGGAGCAGATACTTCTTTCATTTCCCCACCTCCAGCTTGACGGAGACAATTGTTCCTTTATGGATGCTCCTCTCACCAGATGTCCCTTTTTTTGTGGGTTGTGGGCAGGTGCTCTGAATAAACAATGGGCTTCTCTGAGACTGGACTTTATGAGATGAGGCCAGGTGTTCTGACATGCTGGGGAGCCTCCTTTAAGCTGGCCTCTCCACCTTCTATTGCCACTTGCTGATTACAGGCAGTGGAAGGAAAAGTTAGGCCAGTGCAGAGGAATCGAGGACTTCCAGAGGTGGTCTCTGCTCTTCTGAGTTTGACCTGGGCCTTGAACTCTGAGCTCAGGAACCTGCCATCTGTCCTGTTTGCTCATTGAACTGGGCATCAGATCCTATTTCTCCTGGGTTTTCTGGTCCTGAGAGTCACTCCTAGTTCCTGTGGTCTTGAATAGTTTCCTGGTATCTTCTGTCCCCAGTAAGTAAGTTGAATGAACAGGATGTGATCCTTCCTTGAGCCTGAAAGAGCTAGTGTGTCCTTTTCCTGATTCTAAGTGTCAGCTACCAGGAACTCAATGCACAATAATTGCTCCACTCTGGGTTGGGTAATCTGAGTGTGTGTGTGTGTGTGTGTGTGTGTGTGTGTGTGTGTGATATGTGTAGGGGTTGGGGTGGGGTTGAGGGTGAGGAGGGTGGTGATGGGAGTTGGGGAGTGCCAGTACCAGTTGGTTTTTCTCCTGATCCCTATTGCTTGTCTCTGCTCACTTCCCTGCCATCAGAGAAGCACACAACTGTCAAAGGATCTTTCTACTATTCCTGATCTCAGGCTTGGGATTGTGCTACATCAGACTTTGGACTGGCCTCCTGTGGGTTTTGACAACACTTTACTTTGCTTCTGGTAAGAGGGAATTATCTGAGTGCATGTCTGAAGCTGCAGAGTGAAAGGGTGGATAAGATGGATGATAGAGGTTTTGGTAAAGTTTTTACTCAGTTTAAAGCCAGGATCATGAGATTGAGTGTCCCCAGATGGAGCTTTGAAATAACTGATGACCAGCTGCCCTGCTAGTCATATGGCATGAATAAATTAAAGCCTGGACTCTGGAAACCACAGTCCTTGGCTGCTAGTTATTAAGTTAGTTCATATTCTCCATATCCAATTAAGGGGGAGTGGAGTGGTGATGTCCCAGACAAGATCTGTATGATCTTGATGCCACGTTGACATACCAAATAAACACTGGGTTTTCATAATTTCAACATAGAGATGAAAACACACCATCCAATGCTGAGAAAGATCTGAGCTTGTCACAGCCCTTATAGCTCAGCCTGAATGAGTGACCCTTCAGAGAGCACACTTGCTCTGGGAGAGGAGAAGGGTCCTTTGGAATATAAGCTGACTGTGGTAGTCATTATCCATCTATTGAAATTTCTAGGTGGTTCTCTGAACTGGTTAGCCATATATATTCTGTACTGAGTAGGGAAAGGACCTACAGACCCAGTTATGGTAAGACGAAATTATATAAAGCAAGAACATGGCTTCTTCAAGGTATGGCTGAGGGGAAGGTTCTTACTGTGGGCATGAGGGGTGAACAGTCAAAGGCACCTGGAAGAGTCCACAGCAGGAACAGGAAGTAGTAGACTGAACTGAGCTTTGAGAGCAGAGGGGAGTGGGGAGAGGAGAGCAAGAGAGGAAGAGAAGAGAAGGGAAGGGAAGGGAAAGGAACGGAAGGGAAAAGAAGTGAAGGGAAAGGAAGAGAAGAGAAAAGAGTAAAGAGGAGAGGTCAAGAGGGGTGTATGGATCAAATGGCAGGGTTATATAGGAAGGAGAAGCTGGGGAAGGGAATCCTCTGACCTGGACAGGTTTATGGAGCATGGTTGGAAGACCTGAGAGAAGCCACAGGAACTGAGTAAGCTTAGAGACCAGCTTGAACCCATGATAAATCCTGGTCCCACTGCCAGGGCCTCCACAAACAGACCAAGCCACACAAATGTCACCCACATTCAGAGGTACTAGTTGGGTCCCAAGCAGGCTCCACAGTTGTCAGTTCAGAGTCCATGAGCTCCCACTAGCTTGGGTCAGCTCTTTCTGTGGGTTTCCCCATATTGATCTTGACCCACCTTGCTCATGTAATCCCTCATCCCCCACTAGACTCCAGGAGCCAGGTCCAGTGCTTGGCTGTAGATCTCTATATCTGCTTCTATCAGGTTCAGGATGAAGGTTCTATAATGACAGTGAGGGTAGTCACCAATCTGATTACAGGGGAAGGCCAGTTCAGACACCCTCACCACTATTGCTAGGAGTCTTAGCCAGAGTCATCCTTGTGCATTCCTGGGAATTTCTTCCTAACCTCAAAATGGCTCCTTCTATTAAGATAACTCTTTCATTGCTCTCCCTCTCCTTCTCTCCCCTAACTTGACCACCCTGTTCCCTCATGTTCTCATCCTCTTTCCCCTCCCATATTCTGTAACCCCAGCACTCAGTTTACCAAAAAGATCGTATCTATTTCTCCTTCCTATTATGATCCATGCATGTTGCTTTTAGGGTCCTCCTTGTTACTTAGCTTCTCTGGGGTTGTAGTCTATTGGCTGGTTATCCTTTGCTTTACATCTAAGATCCACTTATGAATAAGTTCATACCATGTTTGTCTTTCTGGGACTGGGTTACCTCACTCAGAATGTGTTTTTTTCTAGTGCCATCCATTTGTATGCAAATTTCAAGATGTCATTGTTTTTACTGTTGAGTAGTACTCTATTATGTAAATGTACCACATTTTCTTTATCCATTATTTGGTTGAGGGCATCTAGGTTATTTCCAGGTTCTGGCTATTAAAAATAATGCTGCTATAAACATACTTGAGTAAATGTTCTTGTAGTATGATTGAGCATCCTTTGGGTATAAGTCCAAGAGTGATATTGGTTGGTCCTAAGGTAGATTGAGTCCCAATATTCTGAGAAACTACCATACTGATTCCAAGGTGGCTGTACTAGTTTGTACTTCACCAGCAATGGAGAAGTGTTCCCCTTATTCTGCATGCTCTCTAGCATAAGGTGTCATTGGTGTTTTTGATATTAGCCATTCTGACTGCTATAAGATGTTATCTCAGGATCATTTTGATTTGCATTTAATTTCTGATTTTGTTAATTTTGATATTTTTTTCTCTTCCTTTTGGCTAGTTTGGATAAAGATTTGTCTGTCCTGTTAATTTTGTTGCAAACCCAACTCTGTTTCATTGATTCTTTGTATCATTATTTTTGTTTCTGTTTTATTGATGACTGCCCTCAATTTTATTATTTCTTGGTGTCTATTCCTTCTGTGTGAAATTGCTTCTTTTTATTCTAGGGCTTTCAGATATTTTGTTAAGTCAGTAATATAAGATTTCTCCAAATTTGTTATGTAGGCACTTAGTGCTATGAACTTTCCTCTTAATGCTGCTTTCATAGTGTCCCATAGGTGTGGGTATGTTGTGCATTCATTTGCATTGAATTTTAGGAAGTCTTTAATTTCTTTTTTATTAATTTCTTGACCCCGTAGTGATTCAGTTGAGCATTATTTCATTTCCATGACTTTGTAGGCTTTCTGCAATTTGTTTTGTTGTTGTATTTTAACTTTAAGTCATACTAATCTGATAAGAAACATGAAGTTATTCCACTTTTTGTATCTATTTAGATTTAATTTGTGACTGAGTATATGGTTAATTTTAGGGAATGTTCCATGAGGTGCTGAGAAGAAGATATATTCTTTTGTCTTTGGGTGAAATATTCAATAGAAGTCTGTCAAGCAAATTTGAGTCATAACATCTGCTAGTTCTTTTATTTCTCTGTTAAGTTTCGGTCTGGCAGACCTGTCTGTTAGTGAGAGTGGGGTGTTGAAGTCTCCCACTATTAGTATGTGAAATTTGATGTCTGCTTTAAGCTTTAGTAATGTTTCTTTTACAAATGTGGGTGCTTTTGTATTTGGGACATGAATGTTCAGAATCGAGACCTCATCATAATGGATTTTTCCTGTGTTGAATAAGAAATGTTCTTCTCTATCTCTATCTCTTTTGATTAATTTTTGTTTGAAGTCTATTTTGTTTGATATTAGGATATGTTGGAGGGATCAGTATCATCTGTAGTTTTTCTTGAATAGAGCAGAAGTTCCATGCTTGTGCCATACAGGGTGAGGGCCAGCAGGTTATTCACTGCATGTAATGTCTATTCTTTGAAAAAGATGATTTATATAAGATAGTGGCAGCTTTAACAGGTATCAGATTGCAGGCTGAGGGACAGAGCTTGAATATAGCACCGATACTCCCCACCCTCTGCATTGGCACACTGTCCCCAAATCTGTGTTTTCAGGCAAGGTAAGATGACATTTTCCACATCTGAGAAGGAAAATTTGAGATCAAGCGTAATTTTACAGCAGGAAACCCCCCTGCTTGACCTGAAAAGTGCAACATTCCTTCAGAGACAGCACCATGTCTGTGGAATTGAGAGAGGTGCCCTCTGACTGTTGGAGATGATGCCTGTTGTGAACTGTATTAGCATCCTCTAATTCATAGGCAGAGGCTTAGATAGCTTCCAGAGCACTGGCAGAGCTGAGCAGGTTTAGGTGAGATCAGCACTGTGAAGTCCTGGCAAAGGGAAGAGTGCCCCTCATAAGAGTAGGAAGAGACAGCTGGGCGTGTTGATGCATGCATTTAATCCCAGCACTCTGGAGGCAGAGGCAGGTAAATCTCTGAGTTCAAGGTCAGCCTAGTCTCAGAGTGAGTTCTAGAATAGTCAGGGTTTAGAGAGACCCTGCCTTAAAAATCTAGAGTGAGAAGAAACATTAAAATTATCTCTGATGTGCAAAGACACAGCAAGGTAGGGAGAGGGTCCTCCCTAAGCAGCTGATTCCCTCTTGGGGCCTTCAACTTCAGAACTGTGGGATGATACATCTGTGTGGTTGGCCATTAGTGTGTTTTCCTACCATAGCTGAACAATTGGAGAAGCCTCCTAAGTGACCCATTTCTTTGATTTCTTGGTTCTGAGACTGGTCATGACAAGGCCATGTGGACTAGCCTCCTTAGGTCTTCCCTTAGCTGAAGCTTTCCCTCCACACACTGCACTGTTACCTACCAGGCCATCTTGGATGCCCTGTCTCTACTCATTGACTCCCTGGAGTAGGAACATCCCCATGTGAGACCTCACTGGCCTGGGCCCTACCCACTGGTTTTAGGTAAAACTCCTTGACCCAGCCAGTCATAGAGGTCAGATGTGTGCTTGCACTGCTCTTTAAGAGAAAGTCATTGACCTCTGAGGGACTTGTCCCTGTCTGTGCTCTTTGTCCTAGAGGCGAGGCTTGGTATGTAAGCAAGGAGCTTGGAGCAAGGCTCTTATTCTTATTTATTTATTTATTTATTTATTTATTTATTTATTCATTCATTCATTCATTCATTAGATTTTTTAAAAAATAGTACCAATCCAAATTCCCACTCCCTCATCTCCTCCCATCCCCTCCACACACCTTCCCATCACACCCTCCTCCAATTCTAAGAGAGGGTAGGGTACTTTGCTTTTGGGAAGGTCCAAGGCCCTCCCTACTATGTCTAGGTTGAGCAGGGTATACATTCAAAGAAAATAGGATCCCAAAATCCAGTACATGCAGTAGAGAAAAATTCCAGTGCCACTGCCCATTTTCGTCAGTCAGCTCCAGCCATTCAACTTTCAACCATATTCAGAGGGACTAGTTTGGTCCTTTGCTTGTTCGTTCCCATTCCAGCTGGAGTTGGTGAGCTCCCATTAGCTCTGGTGAACTGTTTCAGTGAATGAACCCTTCATGGTCTTGACTACTTTGTTTATATTCTCATTCCTTCTACTCTTCAACTCGTCTTTGGGAGATAAGTCCAGTGCTTCAATGTTGGTCTCCATCTCTGTTTC